GACGTATTTAATAAATCAGTCCATAACTAATGGTAAGTTTCCACAGTTATTAAAAATTTCCAAAGTTATACCAGTTTTGAAGCTGGTGATTATCAAAAAACAATCAATTAGAGACATCTATCCTCTCTTCATTCAGTAAAATATTTGAAAAAATAATTCTGCATGGACTTTTATTATTTCTAAAAAAGAAAAAACATATTGTCAAATAATCAATTTGGATTTCAAAAGAAAATATCAACTACAAACGCTATATTTGAAGTAAATAAATATATTAAATTTCATCTTGATGGAAATAATAATGTAAAATATTTAAATTACAAAAGTCTGAATTAAGAGTTATTTTTAAATTGAATCCATGCCAATCCTGTAAGAAAGTATTAAAAAAGTACCAGTTAATGACCTTTTACTCAATATATATTTACAAAACATTACTATTTTTAAAGAATAATTTTGAGATATTCTGGAAAAATTATGAGTTATGTTTGAAGAATTATAGCTTAAGAAAATTTAAATAATTTCTTCTACTTTACACAAAACAAAATGTTATGAAAAACAACTTCATTACAATGGAAGAAAATGATTTAACAAATAACCAATTAATATTCAAAACTTAAAATTAAAAGAATACAAGAAAAATTCAAACAAATCCTTACTGAAGATCCGATCTATTCTGTTGAAGACTTCAATGATAAATGCATCAACATTTAAAAATGAAATTATAAACAGTTTTAAATTAATACTAAATCTGAGTTAAAAGTAAATTAATTGTAACGTCGGTACAATGTATATTGTGAAGACAATAGAGTATTATAATTATCATTATTGTTATTATTAGAGTAGGTATTGAAGCAAATTGACACCCACTTTCCACAGAAAGGAAGAGCTTTATTTAATAGAAAATCTATGCGGTTGGCGGTTATAAACTTATGTAAATTAGCACAACCAATGATTTCATTTATCTTACTGCTACAGAATACATATGATCATAGATGAAGTAATATCTTAATCTATAATATAATATTACCCTAAAATCTTTCAAGAATAATTAATCTCCGAGTATTCTTCAGCTATTTAGAAATTACTTGGTCACCGTCCGTGAACATTACCCAGTTCTCTTTGGTCATTGCTGGGAAGGTAAATATGAGTAGCACAAACACACGTCAAGGACCATGGTGCAGCCCATCGCTGACACTAGCACTGATAACACTTATCACATGTGATAACGAACTGCTGTGGTGATAATTGATCTGGTAAATGAAACTGCTCAATAGAGTTATCAGGTGATAGTTGGCGCGACATGAACTAAGTTAACACCACGTGAATCATATCTCATATCGCTTGAGGGGAATCTTAATCTTTTAGATCCATCAAAAATAGCTTCCGAAACTAAAATGTTTTAAATTATATTTTCTGTTATTTCTTTTCCTATAGTATAATTCAAATATAGTATTTAAACGAACTCTTAGTTACTGCTTTCAACAACCTAAGAGTACTATTGTACCTAAAAGTTTTCTTTTTATGAATGAGAATGTAGAGTGACGAGTGTCAAATAAAGTCAGAGGACCTGCGAAGCTCCATTGCTGGCGAAGACCAATTTTTCTTTCCTCAGCCAAGACCATTTACTTAATTTCAAATGTTCAAGGACCAGCTGGTAAAATTCAGTGCGGTGGATGGTTAATAATTTAAAGCATACTCAATATTAATACAGATTTTTAATTCAAATTACAAGTGTTTCGGTCTATTAGACTTAATTTGTTTTTAAATCATGAACCAAGAGTTTCTTTTTACACTTCGATCTAAAATGTACCAAATAAAAACTGAAATGAAACTGTTAAATTTTTTTCTTAATCTTGCAGTTTCTGGATCGAAAGACAAAAGCTCCAATCTATGTGCATTTTCGAAAACACGATGAACTAAGGTGGTTATTGTAGTTATGTTTGTGATATTTCCATGAAATTTCGGCGTGTAGTTTCTACTGATATTCTGAAACTTTATTGAACTTTTTATCGATTCCGCTCTATTTCTGCGACACTCAGATCTCGTCAAAATGAGTCACTGATAAGAGATAGCATTATCAAGGACAGGTTTCAAGATAACTAGACAACTCCCTGGGTAAAAATCACACGTTCAAAAGTAAACTTTTGACATGGCTTGGCATTCACGACTGGAATCGGGTTATGACGTGTGTTTAGTAAGAATGTGTTGTAACTAAGTAACTAAGATAAAATGGAAACCCGCTGAGAAATAAAGATTTTTAGTTGTACAGGACAGGCAAAATAAGGCGAAGCAGTCATCAGGGTTCGCCTTATTCTGAGCAAAAAAAAATAGATATATATATATATATATCTCAGCTGTTTATTATTCGATATTTTAGTATTGGTGTCGTTTGATAAACGATTTTGAATGCTAAATAAAAGTTTTCCTGAGAATTTACTATAAAATCAGACATCTTTTGGGAATTTAAGCTATAACAATTAAAATGCCCGTCATATTGAAATAAAAAAATATATCTAAGTAGTTTTTAAGATATTAATTAAAATGATTAATAACTCGCTAACCAGGTGTTTCCGGAAAAAGGGTTATTCTTGATTTTCGTTTTATTTTGACCCGTTAAAATTATTGTAAATAATTTGTAATTACTTTTTGGAACCCTGTAGGGGCCTAGGCCTACCAATTGTTGATCTGATCTGTAGATATAAATTGCATTGTAGCTTATAACACAAGTTATTCTGTTAAGTCTCTCTATAACTCTCTCCAAGACTTTATACTGGCAATACCTTGGTGTTGTATACACCGCACCTGTTTAAAAACCTTTGAATACTTAAAATGTTACAACACAGGGTTGCTTTTGCCAAATGTAAAGTTGTGTAAAATCATTTTGAAAAAATCCAAAATGTCGCAAGACAAAAATGTTAGAGCATAGATATACTCTCACATGTTAGGTTTTGTATTTTTTACACTTAACACGATTTTTTTCATCTACTAGATGTCCCCAACAATAATCAAAAGTCAAATTTTGTCAGACTTTCAGTGCATACTCAACCCGTTTAGCGCCTGGACTACCTTGGTAACAAACCCCAAATACAGGTAAAAAAATAATAATGAAATTTCTAATGAATCGTACAATACAGATCCAACAATGAACTTAAACATTTATATAAAACGAAACGGATGTAAGGTAAATGCACCAGTAGCTGACAGTGCTCCAGTAGCTGACAGTTTGAGTTTCTTTACATTATAATGTGGTCTCTTAAAAATATTTACACATGATTGCATTGTTAGAAGAACATATGTTTATTCTTGATTAGTTTACAAAAAAAAATCAGTTAAATTTAGCCCATACTTGCGGAATGGTGGTGGTTTGAAAGCGACCCTGTCCGTACACATCACATTTAGTCGATTCCCTTAATGAAATTGTTAAGAAAGTTAGTTTAGTTTTTTGTCATTTCGCTAAATTTCTTAAATAGTATTAATGATTAGGCTCATTATTTTTATCAATTATACCTTTGTTGACAATTTCATGATAAAATTGGGGTGTTAGGGGTTTTGGATTAAAAATTATATCAATGTCAGGCTTTGGTACACAAAAGCCATACAAGTTCCAATAGCTGACAGGGGATATTTGCTACTTGCACAATATTAAATTGGTTTTACCCATCGAAATTTGCATGCTATTTATAATTTATGTGATCTCACATTTTTATAAAATGATTTTAATTTTTTAATTAACAAGCCAAATTATCTAAAAAAATGTATATATGTTTTTAATATAAATAAAAAATATATACAGGGTGACAAAAAAGTCTGGAAACGGTTTAATATCTTTTTAACTAAGTCCGTTAGATAATTCAAACCTTTCACATCAACTCACATGTATAAAAACTACTTTTTCCAAGAATTATCATTTTTTTACCTCTACCAGGGGACGACCCATGAGGAGTAGTTAAATAATCTTTAATGTAAGCATAGGTTGATATGCACATCATTTTAAAGGTCTGGTCAAGTGGAGTTCATTGCCGGAAACCGCGTCAAAAAAGGTTTATCCGTTACAAAATGGCGGTTGTCCAAAGTTCTTGTTGAATATACCTGCACAGGCCTTACTATTGGTAAATACTTGTATTAAACATTAGCTTGAGAGCTGAAACTGTATTTTAAAGTCAACTAGCTCATAGACTAATATTATTCAATCTTCAAAACAAATTTAAACGGGTTTCAGATTTCCCGGCTAATTTTGAATTTGAGTATTTACCAATTCTAAGGCCTCTGCTGGTATTCCGCAAGAACTTTGGACTGCCGCCATTTTGTAACGGATGAACCTTTTTAAACGCGGTTTCCGGCAATGAACTCCACTTGACCAGACCTTTAAAATGACGTGCATATCAACCTATGCTTATATTAAAGATTATGTACCTACTCCTCATGGGCCGTCCCCTGGTGGAGGTCAAAAAATAGTAATGCTTGCAAAAAGTAGTTGTCATACATATAAGTTGATGTGAAAAGTTTGAATTTTCTAACGAATCTCTTTAAAAAGATATCAAGCCGTTTCCAGACTTTTTTGTCACCCTGTATATATTTTTTAATGTAAATAATTTTTATTTTTAAATATGTAAAATAAATTTTAGTAATAACGTTTTACATGGTTTTATAATTTAATTATTACGTTAGATTTTATTCGTCTTATAAATTATAAAACCCTTAGGTTTAGCAGCTAGTACATGTATAGTTCCAGTGTCAGCTACTGGGACAACTGACTGTCAGCTACTGGTACAAGCACTTTTTTCACTGTCAGCCACTGGAACACGTACAAAGGTTGAATTAAGTTTAAAAATGTTATAAAATATATTTAAAAAACCCTTTTTGTATGACAAATTTGAAAACTACACTAAATTTAGAATCACATAAAATCCGTAATATCTCTTTAGTTCCTATTTATTCAAAACCACGGATTATTAAGTGCGTATAGTTTCTTATACTGTCAGCTACTGGTGCGTTTACCTTACCTTCACCGAACGACCTAAAATGTGTCTTTTCTTGTGGGCATTACTCCAGCCTGTTGTGAGTGTAGATCGTTCCCGCCGTGCCGCGTCTCTGGAACAGTCAACAAAACAGCTGATTGTTGCCAACAACCGACGATGTAAACAGTCACATGTTTTATTGCTGTTAGCCTAGATATCCTACGATTCTGGGTGTGGTAACACTTCAGAGTTCTGGAGTGTCTTTGTGTCGGATTGCATGTTTCTGACTTGGTAAACAATACAAAGGTTTCGTGGGAACACTCTGAGCAGCCAACACGATATGTTCTGCATTTATACTGTATTAGTAGAAAATAAGTATTTTTTCTCCAACCATGGACCATCAAAAGGTAGTAAAATACCATGATGGTAGGCCTACTGACTAAACGGCTAAACTACTTTATTAAAAGTAAATAAATCTTGCTTGTGGAGTTGGTATTAACTATATTGTTTACTCGTTTAGCGGTTCGAGTGAGATAATTTCTGGACTTCTATGCCATTTTTTTATTGGGATATCAATAATGATGCTATCTAACAAAAAGTATTATAGGACATGGTTTGCACTATTTCGTTACAAAAACCACAGAACTACAAAATAGTCTGGAAACCCAAATAAATAAATTAAAAACAAAACTATTGGCATGTTTATAAGTGAGAATGCATGTGAAGCTAGAAAACAATAATATTTCCCGCTAGCCAAAGGGTTCCACTGTTCATCATTACTGGTCCAGTTAGACTCTATAGAGGAAGCTACGTAGAATCACAGAATAAAGAGAAGTAATGGCTAACCTTTATGTACTTTTGAAATATATATGTATTTCTTTTTATACTCAATGACTAAACCAAAGGGATGAAAGGGAAAATATGTACAAGTTTTTAAGGCATGAAACGAATTTTAAACTACCAAAACGTTGTTTTCAAATTAAATATTTGGGTGAATATTGAAGAATTATATTAATTGAGGTATATAAAAAATGCATGTTTAAAATTATAAAAAAAAATTACACTTTAAAAGTCTGTGTGGTACAATATCAGTATTCTAGACACAATAATAAATCTAATCAAAGTAATATTTCGAATAATGTAACGATTCTCTGTCATATTTTAAAAGTGAAAGTAGAACCCCGGTTAACCGAAATAAAGAGGGGAGAGCCGTTTCGGATAACCAATTTTTCGGTTAACCCGTCATATGCTATATAGCCTAGCATTCCCACGGCGAGTTGGAAAAAATAAATTTAAAACGATTTCTATATAATACAGTATTTTATTCCAGCAATTTCAGCAACGCAACAGAAATGTTACTATGGGTTAGAATATACTTTACACTAAACAACTGAAGTTACTAAAGCATTTTACATTACGTATTACTTATATTTTAGTTCTGTATTACTTTATGGAACCGTTTCGGTTAACCGGGGTTCTACTATACAAGCAGTTGTGAGAACCGGTAGCATAGCGATATTTAGTAGTAGGTACATTTTAAAGGTGACCTACCCAAGCACTGGTTGCACGTAGAATATCTAAGAGGTAAACAACAACAACAACACACACACTGTTATGCACAACTCCCGCGGTGGACTGAGCACGAGCAGCGATCAGCTGGGTTGAGTGGTCCTAGTCCGGGGACTGACGCTTCTGATTGGCTGACAGCCGCAGTTCTGGCCTCTCATTGGTCACCGAGTCGCTCTTATATCGAGGGAAACCTGTAACTAACAATGTGGTCTGCAACAAAATTGCTTGTATTTTCAAGATCTGTTATGCAGGGTTTCCTTTTCTTCAGTATTGTTATTGAATAACGCTGTTTTGAGAAAGACCTCCATAGATTGAAGGTTTCAGTGTTTGATTTTTGGCACGAAAGCTTATAACTTAAGTGTTTTTTTGCCAACGACAATGTAACATAGAATATCCAAATGAGGAACGTAGGCTTTACATGGAGTGCAATATCGAGTCTTACTTTATAAAAAAGAGGTAATATTGAAAAAATATACCAAGGTATTACTGAAACTGGTAAAATAAAAATCTACATTTTCCAAGATGAGACATTAAAGTGTGCCCATTGGCGTATTTAAACTTTGTAACAACGTAAAAAAACGTTGTAAAAATAATTAGACCAATGATAATTGGTGACATTAAAGAGGCATATTTTACCATCAGTGACCATCCGCGAATATCCAGCCAAAATGGTACTAAAAATATAAAATACGGTGACCTTAGTTATAAAAAACACGTTTGCCAATTTTTGACAGGATGTTCTATAACAGTGTAAAATCGAAATAGAATAAGATAAGTAAATGAATAAACATTTATTCTTTGATTGTTACTGTCTAGAAAATAAACTAGTGAAATGCCGATTGTATTCTTAATAATGTAACTGTTAAAGATTTAAAGTGAAGTAATTAATCTTTATATAAAATCGTAATTAAAGACAGTAAAAAAATTGCTTTGTATGTATTTTCAACCCGATAGGTCATGTGTGGTATAATAGAGCAAACTAGTGATGGGTAGGCTAAATCTGGTCATGATTGGATCTTAAATAAATGTATTTACTCAACGAAAGTACATCTGGCCTCGTTATTAACGTTTAAATAATATGGACCTTTGTTTCTGCTCTTTAAACATAGAATTGGCATTGTTCATCTTACTTCTGTGGATACTGTAATATAATATTCATTCCGTTGATAACCCCCAATGTAAAATACCTACAGACGAAGCGAATTTCCACTTCCCTGATTCGATGTTCACTTTAATCTATTTAAAATCATTAGGTTGAACGAATACCTAGGTTTGCTGCTACAGAGGTTTAGTAAAGTGTGTATTTAGTAAAATATTAATATATTTGTATAAAAATAAATAAATTTGCCAAATTTTGTCAAAATATATCCATAAACAGGCAAAAAACTAAAAAAATATAACTATAACAATAACAACTAACAACAACTATAACAACTATAACAATTTACTTACTCCCCATTAAAATAACATGGGAATTTCAAAATTAGAAAATGTTTTAAATTTTCTCCATAATCAATCACCGTACAAAACCACTTCAATGTAATAAATAATTTGTTTTTTAAATCTCTTCAAAGTGGTTTAGAGAGAAATTATAAAACTTTGTGTTTTGAGGGTCAAAAATGAGAAAAAACATTTTTTACCTTATAAAACCCCTCGTAAAACCCCGTTCCCATTGTCTGATCATGCTGGTTCGCGAACTCATTCAATTTTATCCCGCCTTGCACCTATACTGCAAACTGAACCTCAAATAGACATCCGAGTCAAAAATGGTAGCCGTTCAAAGATTTATAGAATCTGCCAAGTTTCGAGTCTTTAATCGGCTAGAGTTTTTTACTCAGTGTTTTTTAGCTCAAATTTGCGGCAATGTATTCTAATAACAAAGACCTTTAATTTGTAGTGCATATCGCCCTATGCTTACATTTGTGATTTTCTTCCGTCTTCTAGCGGGCGGGTTTCTTAAGGAGGTACCTTATTACCTTATTACCTTATTACCTCCTCCTTGGCTTGATACCAGCATAAGCTGGATAGGCTGCGTCAATATTTACAAAAACTATTTACAGTATACCTAGTAGCGTATAATATTAATACAAATTCAATGAATCTTTGAACAGCTGTAATTTTTTAATCGATTGTACATTTCAGGTTAAAGAAGTAGGGGAAATGGACTTTAAACTCACCTTATATTTAACTGAGCAAATGAATAGTTGGAGGGCCTGATGTTGTTAAGGTCGTTTTTTCCTTTAACTCCTTAAAACCCTCAATGGGAGTATTAATAAAGGCATTCCTATTCTTCCACTTTCACTTGATGAAAACACAGATTAAATGTCCTTGATGTACTAGTATTTTCAGCCTTAGAGTGTTTTCCTCTGCAGTTATCGCAAAGCCCGTGTTTCTACAAGTTAAAATGGCAGCACTTCGGTATACATTCTCGTTCACCATTTATATGAATCAATGTTGGGCTCTCTATCATTTAGGTTGGTTATACAAAATTATTAAAAAGTTATTACCAATCTGTATTTTCTTCTCAATAGTGGCTAGATAAGGTAAGCCGAAGAAACATTTTTTCAGTTCCACCACAGCCTGATCTAAAGTGCATCCTTGGCCAGATGTACTGAAATCGCACAGGCAAGATTTAGTGGAAATCCTAATTCAAAGGGATTAATCACTTATAAACAATAGGTAACAGGCCATTGTACAATGTGGGTCTAATGTATTTTTTTTTAATTTCATACAAATACAAATTTAAAATCTTTAAGGCAATTTTTATTTTCAACAAATTTTTATATGATGTTAGTTGCAGTACCTATTCCATTTTATAGGCTTTTGCCAAGATTATTCCAAAGTACATATCACCATTGTATAACACAAAAACTTAAAAGAAATATGCGGCTGACATCTGATTTTGCGTTAGTTGCCGTTATCTTATTGTTAAAGGCAGTAAAACACTGTACAAATGCATTTATTAAGACATATTTGAAATTTCTTGTGTTAATAAAAACATTTAATTCACATCAGCGCACTTCTAAAACCAGCAAATATTATCAGTAAATGCTAAAACATATTTTTTTTTAAATAACCTACTTTTGATTGCTAGCAGTTGGTATATTTTTGGATAAACATTGATTTGATATTTTGCTAAGTTAAGATCGACGCTGATTTACATAATTTGTTTTTGTTCTAATTTAGTATCAAACAAATAAAATCAGTAAGATACTGTGCCTATTAAATCAGTGATAGTTTTAGCGAATTTCCCATATAGAGAATAAGCTATTACCATAGTACTCATGGTAAGACCTGGACCCGGGACCGATTTCCTTTTAGCGAATTTCCCATATAGGGAATAAGCTATTACCGTAGGTCTCATGGTAAGACAAAGACCCGGGACCGATTTACGTTTTCGTTTTGAGGTCCCCAGAGACCAAAAACACCATCCGTTCAAATTCATATATATATATATATTTATATATATATATGTATTATAACACACCAATTCTGACCGTTTCTGTATGTGGACGTTACAATTCTGACCGGAGAGACGACTATTCTGACCTGTTTACAATTCTGGCGTTACTGAGTATGAAAACACACCAATTCTGACCCCACCCTCAACTGTAATATTTAGTGGAAACAGTACAAATAGTTCTCAGCCACGGCATGAAATGTGTATAATAAACATGTCCATGGCTGTTAAGAGCACAGCTGTAATTTTCGAAGAATTGCTGTCCTCTCAACAGCTTCAGTGCTACCAATATATGTAATGGGAGGGTATACAGTAGGGAAAATATGATTCCCGCTAACCCGATCTATGCCGCGTCGCGTCGTTCAGAAACAATTGTAATGTGAAGCATTTGTTAGAGTAATTTCGTAAGTTGGGGTTCGATATAGGCAGTCATGATGGAAATCCTAGCAGACTATTCTATTATGCAAAGCATGTAATGAGTTTAGGACATTGTTTCTAATTAAGGAGGGTAAAAAAAGTTTAAACGATAGACATATTGATGGGGTGCGCCATAGGAATTCATGATGGAAGTCATTGCAGAATATTGTGCAGAGCATGTGCAGAGTTCAAGGCTGTACCTGTTACCTAAAAAACTATGGGAAGGGAGGGAAACAAGTCCGTGACGTAGGAAGTGATGAAGGAAGTAGTAAAGGCAAGTAGTGTGTAAACTGTTTATGATGATTAGATTAAGGTATCTGCAATCCTAAAATGCTATGGGAAGGAAGGGGAACAGGCCCGCGACGTAGGAAGTGGTGAAGGAATTAGTAAAGGCGAGTAGTCCGGAGTGTTGGAACTGTTTATGACGATTAGATTAAGGTATCTGCAATCCTAATATGGTATAGGAAGGGAGGGAAACAGGTCCGTGACGTAGGAAATGGTGAAGGAAGTAGTCAAGGCGAGCTATCCGGAGTGTGGGAACTTTTTAAGACAATTAGATTAAGGTATTCGCAATTTTAAAATGCCATTGGAATGGAGGAAAACAGGTCCGTGACGTAAGAAGTGGTGAAGGAAGTAGTAAAGGCTAGCAGTCCGGAGTGTGCGAACTGTTTATGATGATTGAGTTAAGGTATCTGCAATCCTAAAATGCTATGGGAAGGGAGGGAAACAGGCCCACGACTTAGTAAGTGATGAAGGAAGTAGTAAAGGCAAATAGTCCGGAGTGTGGGAACTGTTTATGACGATTAGATTAAGGTATCTGCAATCCTGAAATGCTATGGGAAGGGAGGGAAACAGGTCCGCGACGTAGGAAGTAGTGAAGGAAGTAGTAAAGGCGAGTAGTCCGGAGTGTGGGATCTTTTTAAGACAATTAGATTAAGGTATTCGCAATTTTAAAATGCCATTGGAATGGAGGAAAACAGGTCCGTGACGTAAGAAGTGGTGAAGGAAGTAGTAAAGGCGAGCTGTCCGGAGTGTGGGATCTGTTTATGACGATTAAATTAAGGTATTTGCAATCATAACATGCAATAGGAAGGGAGGGAAACAGGTCCGTGACGTAGGAAGTGATGAAGGAAGTAGTAAAGGAGAGTAGTCCGGAGTGTAGGAACTGTTTATGACGATTGAA